CAATAGTGTGAGCACCTGGAAAATTTCACTCAGAAAATTGTAACACAAATCAAACTTTGCAGGTACAGATATTAAAGACAGTCTTTGAGATACCATGCAAACAACCAATTGTTATTAGATAATGACATTTCCGGTTTTACCAGAAAGCAAGGTGAGGTCCTTCAGATCAAGCCCCTGCCTGGAAAAGAAGGCCAGAAGACTAGTGATGTTTGAAAACGGCGGAGGGATGTTAGCTAAGGCTTCTGATGTTCTCGAGATTTTTCCATCTCTGCGTCCCACTGGAACTCTCCAGTAAGGTCCTCCCTGTCAAAATTAAAGTGTGTATATGTATTAAAGTTGAACTATTCCTCTTCAACTTGTGGATTTTCTGATAATGAAGCGACTCTTTTTCAGGTAAAGGAAAGGTAGTCAGCTTCTAGGACTTACAATCGACACGATTGAATCTCTAGCAACCAAAGCAATAATGTCAGCACAGGAAACAACACCAGGACATTCTTGTTCCAATAGAGTTTTTACTCTGTCAATGAAATCATAGCCTCTTACTGTCAAATTTGGAGGGGAATCCTTTTCTGCTTGGTTTTCTGAAGTTGAGTTTAGCAGCAGAGATGCATCACAGCCCTGATAATTTATTGAATAATATATCTTCAAAAAGAAAGAAAGATAGATAGATAGATGATCTAGTCTTAGGAAATTTACTAACCCCAGGAATGGGAATCATACATTCAGTATTTGGTCTATTTAGGACAATTTACATATTCTATCTGTTTTCTTAAACTTACAGAAAATCACTCAACTTATTGATTTTAGAATTTAATAATTAAATAGAATACCAGTTGTAAGTAGAATCAAAATCTTTTTATCTTTGGGCTAATTGTATTTTTGTTTTAATCTCTTAGAGAGGGATTTCAAATCTCATTTAAATATACTAGGAAAATTGATTCAAGTATAAACTTTCTAATTAAAATTCTACATGCTAATGATATTTTAACCTGATAATAACAAAAAATAAAATAAAATGAAAACTTAAGGAAGAATTGAACCAAATTGATGGTAGCAATTACTTTTTCACTCGAGTATAGAAAACTGATAATAAAAGAAAAAGTTGCCATTAACCCAACTACTAGTCTACTCTGAACAAAATATGGGTTCACACAAAAACTATTTGGTGCTTCAAAACTACATTGTGATTAATATATTTTAAATTTTATTTTTTAATTTTGAAAAATATTTAAAAACAAACTAATTATCACTTCTCCATTTAAACAAAGATTAGAATTTACAAACCCTAACAAAGCAATCATGAAAATGCAATCTTAAGAGAGCTGCTGCAAGAGATGGTGCATTATGGATGTGGGTCTGAACAAATTCCTCCACAATCTTCTCAGCTTTTGGGCAACTCTCACCATAAAAACCCATCTTGAGTTGACCTTGGACTAACCCTAAAACTCCTAAACCACATATGATTATGAACCCTAGACAATGAAACCATCCCATTTTTCCCTTAACAAAACCCTTTATTCTCCCTGAATATTGACTAAGTTTTCTGTATGGATCATAAGCCACGATTAGAATATAAAGGCAGTTGTTATATAGAGCTTTGCCATGGATTAAGTCTACAAGATTACAAGGAGAAGAGCACAAGAGCAAAGCTATCAGCTAACTAACACGTTTTATCATGGCTTATAAGTATACACATATACACACACACACTAGCAGTACAATCATAGACAAGCAAAGGTTAGGTTTCCTTTTCATTATAATAACTTTATGCTTTATCCTGGATTATGTCCATATTAAGTGTCTTATATTACTTTTAGTTGTAGTCTTGCTCTTCTTAAACAACTATTGGTTCATAATACGTATTACTACAAAAATCAAATAAGTTTACATCTTTAAAAATTTTGAGCAAAGTAGTTCGTTGATTTATCCTTACATGGTGCCTTGATGGCTGAAAAATATAAGTTTGAGAAAAGGAAAAAATATATAAGGTGCTTTCCAAGTAAAAATAGAAGTTGTTTTTGACTTTTAATAAAGATGAAATCAAAAGTTGAGAATAGAAGTCGTTAAGTAATTATTTGTATTGTTGAAAGTGATTAATAATTTTAATAATTGTATTTATTAATGTTATGTTTCATTTGATAATTAATTTAATATTTGTTTCAAAATAAAAATATAACATTCATTTATTATCAATAATTCGTTATGTATTATAAATTATCTAAATTAATATTTATTTTCAAGTTAAACAATAATTATTATGTTGAATAAATAAATAAATAATAATCTAAAATAATTTGAATTATTAAAATTACATAACAATATTTATTATCAATCATTTAATAAATATTGTTATGTAATTTTTATGGTTTTAATATTTATTATTAATTTTATAATTTTTTTAAAAATGAATTTTACCAAATACTATATTGTTTATCACCTTAAAATTATTTTTCCTGCACTCTATTTTCAGAACAATGTTTCCTAACTCATAATATAAGTATCGGTTAGGCAAATGATTTGTTGCAGGTTAAAATTACTAAAACAAAAGTTACATGTTTCTAAAAAACTACTTCTCCTTTCAATATTGCCCTTAAACAAATATTGCACATATAATATATATATACATATTAGTTAATGGACCAATATTATACATATTGGTTATATAATATATACATTATATAGTTAATTAAATTTTTATATATTAAAATTATTAAGAATTTTAGAAATATTATTTTATATCATTACAGTATACACCAAACATAATGATTTTTACTTTTTGAAGAAATTTTCATTAATACATAATAATTTCTTTGTTGAAAATACTTTCACTTATCAATCATTTCAACTGAAGCATCAGTTACACCAAACATGATGAGTTTATTAATAGCTTTGAGTCATTTTAATTTCTCACCTACTCCTTGGCTCATTCTTCCTCCTTTCTTATATCAATGTTTGTAAGAGATGTAGCTCTTTCTTTATGTCATAGGATGAATTCATTGATAAGACCAAACTATTTTAAAAATTAGACTTAACATATTAATTAAACCTAAATATGTTTAATATGAATTAGGGACTTTATTTTAGTGACTGCATAATTGAATAGTTTATACATTTGTTTTCCTTATAAGATCTTATGTATTCGAGTCGAATTATATTTCAATATATTCTTATTTAAATATTATTTTTTATTGTACTATAATTGATATTTATGTATCAACTAATTTATGTTAAAAAATTAATAGATAAAATTTAATGCTGATATTAATCCAAGAAGTAAACATAAAAGATTTGATATGTAATTAACTTTTGTTTCGTGTGTAAAAGTACTTTTAAAAATATTTAAGTATATATCACTTATAAAAATATATAAGGATTATGTAATTTGTCAGATAACTAAAGCAAAAAGGAAAATAAATTTCTATAAATTAATACTTTTTTTAACTTCATAATCATTTATTTTATAAATAAAAATATATATAATTTAGAAAATAAAAATATTTTCATTTACTATACGGAGCCTAAATCTTTCAATAAAGAAATAAAACATTTAATATAAATAAAAGATTTCCAAAGAAGTTAATTATAAAAAGAAAGGTCTGGAAATGTATAGGTGGTGCCTGCTACAAGGTTAATAGTCGCCTTTCAGAAAAGAACCATTCTAAAAATGAAGAACATCTTTTTTATTGATCTTTCAGAATTTATATATATGTACATATGTATAGATATATATGACCTTTTTTTTGGTGGGATAAAGCAAATAATGAAATTCCACTTGAAGAATATATATACATATTTAGATGGTATATGTGGTAACGAATACATACAATTTGAAGATATAAAAGAATAAAAAGTTGATTATATTATTAATCTTTTTAAATGTACGAATAAGAATATTATTAGATATTAAAAAACATACAATAAACCCAGCAAGACAAGGGCAAAAGTCAACTTACAATAAAGCCACCTTATATAGCCACAGTATGAATCTAAATATTAAACAATCTTACCATCCACTCTTTCATATAAGAAGAACAATAATCATATGATAGATGATCCTACACATGAAAACGAAAGAAAAACTGCAACAATACATGCACATAGATAGTAAAAAGTTAAATAATAGAAGAAACACGAAAATAAAAGAGGAACAAGTAATAGACTACCCAAATCCAACTATGATAAGTAGACGACATAATCTGCAAAGATAAGAATGTTGACTCAACACTTAGAGTGGAAAAAAAATATGTTCACTGAATCTCGTTCTCTCTCTTCACTTTACTTCTATTTTTTGCTTTTGATTTTTTCCCTTTCTAATTTTTGTTCAATTTTTTTCTTTACCTAGGTGTGTGTCAACCTTTCTCGATACATTATTACTTAATCTTGATAATCGATATTACATCTCCAATCATATTGGTCAATCCTTGATAATGTTGATTTAGAAATTTGCAATCTCAATTGCTCTTTCTTGATTTTCCTTGTTTTTGAATTTTGTCTTCTCTAATGCTTTTACTTCTGATCTTTGATAAATGTTTTTAGTCTTGAAATTTGCTTTTTCAAAGTTCCATCACATCAATAATTGAGAATATTGCTACTTGATTTTAAATATCTTCCACAAAACCTAATTATCAACCGATCCCTAGTGTTTACGTCTTTTTGAGTATGTTCTCATTGTGATCTGAGTAATTACAGTAGACATTTTCTCTTTGCTTTTTGAAACTTCTTCATTTCTTTCTGTTTTTGCTTTGTTTTGGGGTAAGCTGCGTGAAAATGGAATTCTCAATCTATCTTTATTTTCCACTAAGATAGACTGTTTTTTAGAGTTTTTTAATCTATCTTATTTTTTCCATTTAGTTCATATTTCTCTTTTCATTTTTTATTTATTTTTTGATTTTTTTATTTTGATTATCTTGTTTGTAAAACTACATTATCTAGTATGCAAAAGAATGTTTTATCAAAATGAAATATAACATGATTGCAAAAATTCAATAACGGCAACATTGAAAATCAAAGTTTTCATTTTGCAAGTTTTACTCTACAACATTTACTCCCTTAGTCTCTTAGTCTGGCAACATATTTGTGGTTACATTTGTCCTAATGTCACTATGTTGATAAAATTGAAGTATACCAAGATCCTTCATATCCTAAATTTTATGTTTTATCTTAAGACAATTATCTATGGTTTGACCTAATGCTCCCATATAATATTCACATTTAAATTAAGGTCAAATCACTTAGGTAGAATTTGGCATCGACTGAGGAACTTCTGGTTGAATTTTTCTCATGTCAATAATTAATGGTAAATCTCTATCAACAAAACATTAAGTTTATCAAAATCTATATTCTTCTTCATGGCAGGCTCTAGGTTCACATTACGAGGTTAACTTGAATTAATATTCCTTTTTATATAAGATACTGCATGTTGTGTACACAAGCTAACACGAAAGTGGATAATGGCTACGATAATAAGTTGTCATGCTTGAGTTTCCTACTTGATGGTGTATATGCCACCATATGTTTACCATATGGAACTAATCTCCATTATTTTTGTTATAATTGGGCTTCTTGTTTGATGTTAGTTCACCATGTTTTGTAAAGTATTATAATCGATTAACCTACCACTTCTCACAACATCATGAATATTTTCACTAATTAGATGTGAATTCTTAGTAACTAACATTACATGCCCAATAATTTCTTTGCATATATCTTTCTCAGCAAAAAGTATTAGTCATTTTTTTTTGTTTTTAGTGTTAATTCCAGCCAATAAATCATGGGATCTTAGCTAATGATGAAGAAGAGATCGAGTGATGGAGAATTTCCTAAGCGATGAGGAATTTTAATATAATGGAGATCAGATCGCGAGATATCAGTGATGGAAAATATCGTGATGAGTGGGGCGGATTCTCTACAACAAGATGGAGAAAAATTAGCTTTGAATTTATAAATCTTTGATTGCATTGATGAAATAGATTTTCCAACCAGAACCTATGGATCGTAACAGGCTTCCTTACCTATAAAAAAGGAGCCTAGAACAAGAGGTAAGCCAAGAGGAGTAAAAACCAAAGAAAGAGAGAGAGAGAGAGATGTTCTATTATGTGTGTGTTAAATAAAGAAAAGAAAAAGAAGAAAAGATAAAGAGAAAGAGAGAGGTTGAATAAATATATATATACATATATATACAAAGCTTGTGGCCGACTCGTGCAAAAAGAAAAAGGGCCATTTTGTTTTTATTTTATTATTCTTTTCTCTCTCATATGATGATGGTGATATCATCTATTTGGTTTTTTTAAGAAAAACAAAAAAGATTAGTCATTTATTTTTTTATTATCTCTCTACTCACTCACAGAACAAGAAAAGATATAGTTTTCTCTTGTTCTGGATTTACCTTTCGGTGGATCATCTTGTATTATTGTATATTAGTAGTGATTTTTATTCGAAGTTTTCTCCATAATTTTTTCTTTTATACTGAAGGATTTTTCACATAAAATTTTATG